AAAGACTATATCCTTTAGAAAAGTATCTCATTTGACTGGGTTTTATTTGTCAAATTGATTGTATCCTTCTCCAGAGCACTGAATTTTCTTTTTAAATTGATCATTGTCAGTCTGTAAAGACTGTATCATTTGTAAAAGTGCATCATTCTTGGCCCTATTATCCAACCACGCTTTTAGGAATAAAATAAGAAGAACAAAGCCAATCCCTGGAATCAAATAGAGGGGTGTAGGAGGAAAATCATTTAAACTTTGCATAACATCATACATGGCGTAAGTAAAATGGCTATTGAATTCATAGATGGTTAAATTGTCCATAATTTTCCCTATAAATTATAAATTTATAATTTATATTTCAAATTATAAATCTTACCTATGGTTGAATTTGAGCTGAATAGGTGCAATAACCATTACCTGCCATTAGGTGCTGTGGCGCACTTGGAGCCACCTGGCTGGTTTGAATCTGATTTTAGTGTTAAATGCTAAAAGATATGCTCAGATTATAAACAGTTATTTAGTGTAAATCACAGACTGTGTGCTCTGCAGAGGACCCTGACTGGTCAGTGGCCACACAGCACTAGAATAGCAAGGTTGCAATGCCAAACAGAGATATCCTGGGGAACCTGCGTCTCACCTGACTTGCCTGAGTTTTTGCGGTGCGGAAATACCCAACCCAGAGCGGCTCCAAGTCCTTAGGCACCTTGGCCCTCCGTGATTGCATGGCTCTGAGGCATTTAATGAGGAAATATAAAGGCCCTTAGCTAGTGGCTACTCAGGGGCACTGCTGCACGGGAATCCTATACACATAATGAATAGCAGCATAGAGTCTGACTGCTGCTGGCCAGAGCCGCCAGAGACTCTAGCCCTGTTGGGTGCCAACTGTAGGAATTAGCTCAATTCAGGAATCAATCAGGCTAGCTAAAGAACAAAACAATTTTATGTTTATTTATCATAAGGGGAAAACTCACAAACAGAAACAAGAAGTCCAAGCTCAGCTGTGCCCCAGGGGAATCACAGAGAGAGTGCACCTGGGCCATGCACCCATTTTACTCCTGGTCCCAGAAAGTCACGCCTTAACTTGGATCCACCTCTTAAAGATAATTGGCTAATGAGGTCTTCCCATCAGTATTGTTTGGAATACATTTTTTAAAAACCATTATGAGATGAAGCATATCCAACTTCAAGACTCTGCAAATAGCCACATGAGGCTGAGGATTTAACTGTTAGGAAGGAACTTGCCTGGCATGTCTTAGGACATGAGTTCCATCCCCAGCAAAACACACACACACACACACACACACACAAAAAAAAAAAAAAAAACCCAGAGTGTTGAAGAGATGACTCAGTGTGGACCATGGTTGCTCTACAAGCATGAGGACCAGAGTTTGAATCCCAGGAATTTACTGCAAAAGCTCAGTGGGTGTGGCATTCTGTGTGTAACCCAGTGCTCAAAAGGTAAAGACAGGTGCTCATTAGAGCAAACTGGCTAGCTAGTTAGAATTTAAAGATGAGCTCTGAGTTCAGTGAGAGATCCTGCCTTAATGTATGAAGGAGAATGATCAATGAAGTTGTCCTTAATACCATCCATGGGATTCTATACATAATAGTACACATGTACAGACATGGGAATATTAACAAAATTTCAACACACATGTGAGTCAACATCATGTCAGTAGGCATGTACACATATTCATACATGACATACACATACAAAAAGAAAGAAATCCTTAATAGATGCGCTCAGCCAGCATCCTTGAAGTTGATATTTATTATTGATGGGTTTACATATCGGAGTAATATGGGAAGTTAAATGAGCTATTCAGACAGTTGTATTAAAAAAAATTCTCTTATTTTGTCCATTTCATTCTCTGAAGCTATGATCCTAAAGTGAAATTAAAAATAAAAACTAAGGAGAAAAAACTAAGGCATCTATTGTATGTATATATGTGTGTGCTTGCTTGCATATTTATGCTTGTCTTCCTTAGTCTCTCTACACCTTTTTTTTTGTGAGTCAGATTTTCTAACTAAACCTGAAACTCACCAATTTGACTAGACTATCTGTCCAGCAAGCCCGAGAGATCACTCATCTCTCACTTCACAGGGTTAGATGTATGTGTCACTATGCACACTTTTTCTTTTTTTAAAAAATATCCACATTGGAGACTGAAACTCAGACTCTCACAGCGTGTGGCAAACATTCCACTCCCTATGCCATTTCTCCTGCCCAAGACGGTCGAGTGAACCACAGCATGTTTTGATGCAAGTTCCCATATTAGCTGAAAAGGAGACTGTGCATATTTTGTGAAATGTTTGTAAAACACCAGTTTGACAGACTTTCCTAGACAATTTCAGAGTTTAGACACTATTTGCCTCACACAGGTACAGTTAGGTATAGTTGATGATTTCTTACTTTTATATTTAGCATTGTGTGAATTAAATGGTGGGGTTTAATATTATTCTTCCAGAGTAAGTCTGACAAGGTTCACATTTCTAGTGAGAAAAGAAAAGGAAAAAAAAAACTGTGAAAATAAAAAAAAAGCAAGAAAGGAGAAACAGATCATAAAAAAAGCAAGAAATGAGAAATAGATCATAATTTTGCACCCAAGAATATTTAGAAGTAAAACTTAATTTTGAGTAATGATGCTAATGGTGCCTGGACAGTGTTGGGCTGTTGAGGATGATGGGATATGGTGGCAACAATCTTGGCTCTACACACCACAACTCTAAGAGCCAGGGTGATTCCAGAGTTCTTTTACTAAACACCCCAAATTAGCCCAGTGTGTCAAGGCTTAGTTCTCCATGGAGGCAGAAGAGAGAGGTGCTTGCCTTGAAAGAAATTAGAAGCACTTGAAACTCAAGTGAGCCAACATCTCAAGCAAGGCTAAGAGCCCTGCACAAGCTGTTCCCAGACACAGAGAGATGCCAGCCTTGAAAGCATCCTGACGCCCAGGGAGGCTGAGAGAAGGCCGCTTACGATCTGAAGAAAATGGAACTTGGATCTTTTTTAAAGATGGAAACAAAATGACTCAAAACTGCAACTTCGTCTGAAAACAACCTGTTTTGATTGAAAACCCCAAGAAAATAAATAATCCCACATCTATCTTCCCCTTGAAAGTCAACATAAAAATTTGAAATAGTTCCCCAGATAGAAGGACTGCTTATTCCTCACTCCAAACCCAACAGCAAACCGAGCACAAATCTGCAAAAATTGATGTGAACTTCAATATTGAGAAACAAAATAGAAGAGCCTCCGAAGAGAATTTTGAAAACGAAAAGCCTTGCCCTGTGAGAATATTGCAACTGATATCATAAGAGACCTACTGATGTTCAATATTCCGCTTAGTAACTAATCAGAATGCTTACTTTATCCCAAGCCTCAATTAGAGACCCAGAGAGTAGGAGAGACAACAAATACTAATGCAGGCAAAACACATTCTTTTCAACAAGGTTGGGCTGACATTGGAGGATGGCGTAACTGAAGTCAGGGTTGCAGACAAGGAGGTTCTGTGAGGGCAAGAACACATTAGCTTTCACTATGTCTTCACATTTAATGGTCCTTTAGAAAAATGGTGATGTTTTTCTTCTAAAGTAAAAGAAGCATTTGTTTACATGCTATTTTATACAAAGCATGACTTTTTGATATGTATATATATTTATGTATGCATGCATGTTCATGCATGTGTGCCTGTATGTGCAGAGGCCTGAGGCTGACTTTAAGTAAATTTCTCTGTCATTCTTTATCTATTTAGGCAGTGTATATTGTCTTTCAGGCAAGTCTGGCTAGCTAGCATGCTTTGGGGAGCTCTAAGGATGCCATCACACCTACCTGGCTTTTTGTGGGTTCTGGGGATCTTAACTCCACACTTTGACGGTAAGCACGGTGCCTACCAAACCATCTTCCTAAGCCTCAAACTCTAGCCTCGAGAGACAGGTAACATAACCTATTCAGTTAGCATAACCCTGTGCCTCTTTCCCTGCTTTCTTTTCCTAATGATTTTTGGACAAGCTTTTGTTGACATGAAGGTCACACAGTGTGGGCTGCAGCAGGAAAGAAAGCTCTGTTTTGTAACTTAGAGAAAATGTGTTACTCCCAAACTGATAATTACAGTGCCAGGATAAATCTAAACTTTGCCATTTTTTCCTACATTTGAATTTTTTTTAGAACCTTGAATGGTGACTGTTCGACACAGTGAGATAAAAGTACAGATTCTTCAGACCAAATTCCACACTTAGCAACCTTGAACAAGCGACAGTTCAGTTATTTCAGCAAGTTATATAAAGTGTCTGATACATTTAAACAAACAAGTAGATATAACCCTTTAACCGATATGATGGTGAGTGTTAATTGTCGATTTCACAGAATCTAGAGCCAGCTGAGAGATAAGCCTCTGAGCACGTCTGTAGGGAACTATCTTGATGGTGCGAATTGGCATGGGAATGTCTTCCCATTGTAGGTGGCAGCATTCCCTGGCTAGGAGCCTGAACTGCACTGTAGTGGAGAAAGTGAGCCGAGCACCAGCAAAGCCTTTTTTTCTCCTTCTAGTTATGGCTGCCACATGACTAGACTCCTCAAGCTTCCGGTACCATGACTTACATCCCTGCCATGATGGATGGTACATTTGAACTGTAAGTTTCATTGCTGTCATTAGGGCATTTTTCCCACAGCACCATGAGCCAAAGAAAAGAAGACAGCCAATGATGCAGTCTTACTGACACTCAGATTTTGTCAGCGTGTATCCCTACTCTTATAGATGAGAACAGATTCTGTCACAAAGCTCTCAAAATCACAAGAACGGGAGGAGCACACTGAACTCTCTCCAGCTGACACTCTGATTTCCCTTGGGAGAGAGTTGGAACCAGGGCTAGACGTGATTTCATTATTTCTGAATGGGTACAGGACAGTGATCAAACCTCCACAGTCTGGATACAACAAGCTGCCAGAAACACTTGTTAGCATTAGCACATCTCATATTTGTGCACTAGAAGACGAAAGCATTTCCTACCCATATGTTGTCTTCTTGCTTGTACTGTTGCCAGTTGTGCCCTGTGTCGCTGAACATCAGGCGATAGCTTGTCACCCAGTCAGAGCTCCCGTATCTTCCCTGCGTGGCCACTGCTGTAATCTCCACTCTGTTGCCCAGGTCCATCTGGAGCCACTGTTGGGCATTGGAATCTGCTGGGGACCAACCACCAGTTCCTGGAATAGCATAAAAGAGAGAATGGTAATGATGTCTTAGAAAGCCTCCATTTCGTATGTTAAAGATCAATGAAAGCATGTTCAACTAAAGCACCACTGTTCCCTGCCTCTGAACTTAAACTCCTAATTCTTGCAGGCCCCGATTCCTCTCCTGCAGCTCAGGGCTCCAGGTTCACTGCGGATACAGTGTTTTCAGTGTCTCCTCCCTTCTTCCGTTCCCTTCTCAAGTCTTTCTTTCCTCTGAATTTTTCCTAGGAACCTACCAGGGGACCCGTGCTTCAGGTCTCACAAGGCTTTGATTGGCCTTTACATGACATCATTTACTCAACCTTTATTTCTCACAAGGAGAATGCTGAGTGAAAGGGAAAGAAGAGTTCGGTGAAAGCCAGCGAGGAAGAAGACAGAAGCTGCATCAGAGGCACAGGGGACAGGCTGTCTTAGGAGGTGTTCAGGAAGGCCTTTCCTGACCGAGACAGTGAAGCTGAATCCTCAGGCTGGGATACCATGCCTGGAAAGGCTGGGAAGCAGACAGGCAGTATCTGGTGCACAGGGAACAGAGGATGAAACGGAAAAACACAATCTCAGTACATGAGGAAGCATGGTGCATTTCACATGTGGCCCCCGGCACCAAGACATACAGGGACTTTTCAACAGCTGTGTGGCTTCCAGACTATTTATGACATTTGGACTTTGTAGATGACAAATATTCATTCTCATGGAACTGGGAGACTCGGCTTAAGTTTTTGCTTCCTTCTCAAGTAGGAAAAAATCAATATAAACTTTTACTGAATGCTGAATTCTCAAGTTCTCTGGAACCTGGGGTGAGAGGCATCACAGAGTCTCGCGAGTTGGGCAGGTATGTGGTGAAAATCAACAGTTTTGCTCAGAACATGAGGTGAGAGGCCTACTAAGCTTAAAGGAATGAGCAACAGATTCAAGTTTTCCTTCAGCTTATGTGCTTGTCCCATGATGCTCTAGCTTCTCTTCCACTTAGTGAAAAAGCATTGACTCACACTGCGGTTGGCAGCTCAGGGATTTTCTTTATCCTAACGCTCACTGCACAGGGCTGTGTGTGACAAAATCTGTAGATACTGGAGCTGGGGAAGTATGGCAGAGCCCCTCCTAATCTTAAGACATATGTAGGCTGTGAGGACTGTATTCAGCATCACATAGTCTCTAATAGTTTTGTTTAATAAGCTTCTTTTTATTTCTTATTATTAATAAGATTTTTTATTTTTATTATTAAATTTATTTATTCTACTTATTATTATCAAAATTTTATTTCTTATTCCTATTATTAATAATAAAATTCAAAGCAAGGAAGAAGAAAGGCATGTGATTGTCATCTACTCTGAAATGTGTTCTGAGTGTTGGGTATGACACCAACAAGCTAGGTCCTGAGGTACACTGATACTTCCCCTTTTCAGTAGTAAGCGGGCTGCATGTGTGTGTGGGGGGAGTAATATGGGGTAACTGCATTCTTTAACTTTCCATATTGTGACTACTATAGCCACAAGACCTAGTTCTCCAGAATGAAAGCTGTAAGTGAATTTCCAACTTCCCTCTGCCTCTTGTTCTCACCTTCCCATGACAGACACAGTGAACAAGGTTTAGGTATTGCTGGAACCATAGTTTCTGACTAGTTAAATAAAGGTTGATTTGTATGTTTGTGGTTTTTCATATAGCATTTCCTTCAGGTATATCTGTTAAATAAACTTATTATAAATGATATATGGGGAAATATAAATGTGTAAAACTATACACAGAAATTTAAGAGTGGGCAGAATAATATGGGACTTTGACCCTTTTGAGTGATGCTTGCTAGTTTGGAATGAAAATGCTCAAGTTTTCATAATTTGCTTTTCACTGCCGACAATCCCCAACCTAACTTCTTGATCACACTATAGACTTTTTCATTTATATAAATATTTACATCTAAGATAAAGTTACATTAAAATAGAAGAAAGCAGGTCTATGGCCATGGCTCAACAAGTAAAGGGCTTGCAGTGCAAGACCTGAGGTTGGGTCCCAGCACTCATGTAAATCCTAGGCAGGTGTGCTGGCTTAATTGGAATCTCAGTGCACAAGAAGCAGAGACAGAAGGTTCCACAAGCAAACAGGCAAGCTAGACTAGCAGGGTCCATGAGCACTTGGTTTAGGTGAGAGATACTGCATTCTTATAAAAGGTGGAGAGAGTAACTGAACAAGATACCCAAGCAACAGAGCCTTGGTCCTCAACTTGCACACCTGCATAGACAAACATGTATCTTCCCACACACATGCAGACACACATACCCACATTCAAGCATACAACGCATACACATAAAAAAAAAGAAAAAAGTAGCAATAAGTGTATACCTTTGTAAAAACCAATAAAAAAATAAAATAAATCAAAGTCAAAACTGAAAGTCCATTGTGTTTGGCTTAAGATGACTTTTTCAAACATCTCTGAAGAAAATCACATTTTTCTTTTATTTGGAGTAGGAATGGGAGAAAACCCCACCTCAGTTTCTTAACCCTCCTGAATATGAACCAGCGTGGAGCAGTTACCGTGGGCTTTCATACAGATGAAGTAGGCATGTTCTGAAACTTCCAGTCGCAGCTTGAGCACTTAGCATGAAAGACCACTCCCTGACTGATAATTGCCCAGTCCATTCTCCTTAGTATTGAAGATGCCCCTCCACACACATTACAGCTAATAGGCAGACCCTCGGAGCTCCTGTGGTTGTTCCAGCAAACACTTTCTTTGCTAGCCAAACAGTAAATGTGTTTTGGAATAAAAAGGGTGACTTCAAAAAATGGATAGATTTTCTAAGGCAAACTATGTGCTCACCAATTCCCGGTTCTGAATTACATCAATATTGAGTGAGCATGAAGTCAGGTGTCAACTGCGATAGCGTTGTCCATAGCACAGCTGGTGACTCTGTGATTTCTGGATATGAGGCTGCTGTCAGTCCTGCAGTCTACACTTAGAAGCACTTAAAAGAAATTTCAATTTCAAGAAAGTTTACTAATATTTTTTTGTAACTGTGGATGTTTGCTTTGTTACCGACTATGTGGTCGATTTTTGAGAAGGTTCCATGAGCTGCAGAGAAGAAGGTATATTCTTTCCTATTTGGGTGGAATGTTCTATAGATGTCTGTTAAGTCCATTTGATTCATTACCTCCATTAATTCTCGTATTTCTCTGTTAGGTTTCTGTCTGATTGACCTGTCCATTGGTGAGAGAGGAGTGTTGAAGTCTCCTACTATTAGTGTGTGCGGTTTGATGGCTGCCTTGAGTTTTAGCAATGTTTCTTTTATGTACGTGGGTGCATTTATATTAGGGGCATAGATATTCAGGATTGAGACTTCATCCTGATGAACTGTTCCTGTTATGAGTATAAAATGCCCCTCTCTATCTCTTCTGATTGATTTAAGTTTGAAGTCTACTTTGTTAGAGATTAGTATGGCCACACCTGCTTGTTTCTTAGGTCCATTTGCTTGATAAGTCTTTTCCCAGCCCTTTACTCTGAGTAGGTGCCTGTCTTTGTGGTTGAGGTGTGTTTCTTGTAAACAGCAGAATGTTGGATCCTGGTTTCGTATCCAGTCTCTTAGCCTGTGCCTTTTAATAGATGAGTTGAGTCCATTGACATTAAGTGATATTAATGACCAGTGGTTGTTAACTCCGGTCATTTTTTTAGTCGTAGAGTTTGTGTGTTTCCCTTCTTTGATTTGTGTTGGTGACGGGTCTCTAGATGTCTCAGTTATTGTGGTCATTGTTGGACTCCTTGGTTAGTGATTTTCCTTCTATTACTTTCTGTAAGGCTGGATTTGTGGCTGCGTATTGTTTAAATTTGTTTTTATCCTGGAAAATTTTATTTTTTCCATTTATAGTGAATGAAAGCTTGGCTGGGTATAGTAATCTGGGCTTGCATCCATGGTCTCTCAGTTTCTGCAGTACATCTATCCAGGACCTTCTGGCTTTCATGGTTTCCATGCAGAAGTCAGGTGTAAGTCTGATAGGTTTACCTTTATAAGTAATTTGGCCTTTTTCCTTTGCAGCTTTTAATATTCTTTCCTTATTTTGTATGCTTTGTGTTTTGATAATTATATGGCAAGGGGATTTTTTTTTTTGATCCAGCCTATTCGGTGTTCTGTATGCTTCTTGAACCTTCATAGGTATATCTTTCTTTAGGTTGGAAAATGCAAATCAAAACAACTTTGAGATATCATCTTATACCTGTCAGAATGGCTAAAATAAAAAACTCCAATGATAGCCTTTGCTGGAGAGGCTGTGGAGGAAGGGGTACCCTCATCCATTGCTGGTGGGAATGCAATCTTGTGCAACCACTTTGGAAATCAGTGTTTCTGTTTCTCAGGAAATTCGGGATCAACCTACCCCTGGACCCAGCAATACCACTCCTGGGAATATACCCAAGAGATGCCCTATCATATGACAAGAGCATTTGTTCAACTATGTTCATAGCAGTATTATTTGAAATACCCAGAACCTGGAAACAACCTAGATGCCCTTCAATGGAAGAATGGATGAAGAAAGTATGGAATATCTACACATTAGAGTACTACGCTGCAGTAAAAAAACAATGACTTCTCAAATTTTGCATGCAAATGGATGGAAATAGAAAACACTATCCTGAGTGAGGTAACCCAGACCCAAAAAGATGAATATGGGATGTACTCACTCATAATTGGTTTTTAGCCATTAACAAGGGTCATGGAGTCTACAATTGGTGATCCCAAAGAAGCTAAGTAAGAAGGTGAACCAAACGAAAAACATATAGTTGTCCTCTTGGCTATGGGAAGTAGACAAAATTGCCGGGGAGAAAATTGAGATCTTGGGGGTGGGGTGCGATGGGGGTAAGGGGAGATGGGGAGAGAAAAGGGAGAAGGGGAGTATGGGGGGAACTTGGGGAAAAAGGAGGATTGGGATAAAGGAAGGTTGGATAGGGTAGCATGGAAGCACAATTCTTAGTTAAGGGAGCCACCTTAGGGTTGGCA